GGGCACTTGGGACCTCTACTGTCCCTGAGTCTCCACAGAGAGACAAACATTGGGTACTGGGGACCTCTACTGACAAAGAATCTCCACAGAGAGACAAACATGGGGTACTGGGGACCTCTACTGTCCCTGAATCTCCACAGAGAGACAAACATGGTGTACTTGTGACCTCTACTGTCCCTGAATCCACACAGAGAGACAAACATGGGGTACTGGGGACCAATACTGTCCCTGAATCCCCACAGAGAGACAAACATGGGGTACTTGGGACCTCTACTGTCCCTGAATCTCCGAAGAGAGACAAACATGGGGTACTTGGGACCTCTACTGTCCCTGAATCTCCACAGAGAGACAAACATGGGGTACTTGGGACCTCTACTGTCCCTGAATCTCCGAAGAGAGACAAACATGGGGTACTGGGGACCTCTACTGTCCCTGAATCTCCACAGAGAGACAAACATGGGGTGCTGGGGACCTCTACTGTCCCTGAATCCACACAGAGAGACAAACATGGGGTACTGGGGACCTATGCTGCCCCTGAATCTCCACAGAGAGACAAACATGGGGTACTGGGGACCAATGCTGACCAAGAATCTCCACAGAGAGACTGAAGGAAGCAATTAAATGAATGTTTGTTGACAGCAGGAAAAAGTGAAACGTTTGAGAGAACACTATATATGTTGAACTGCTTAAATACCAGGTTATCAATGTCGCAATGTTATTCGAAACGAATTGTTATTTGTGTAGGGTTATTTCAAATATAAATCACATTTTCCTAAGACTGCTTGCTTCGTAATGGATTTAACACTGGAATGGTGCAACCTACTTGGGTAGCGGCAGCAGATTACAACTCGACGGAACATTCTTCCGCTTCTTATCACACTTCAATACAAACAGCAACCTCCACTTTTCCCACCTCTTCTGCTAACCACATGACGTTGTCCCTTTTTGTTAAACACCACAACAACTTTCATTACAAAGTAAAGCTGATTTACTGAAGACCCCATTCGCAGCATACTTCTACATCGCAAAACACAAACTTGTCTTGGCAAGCGTCTCCCGATGACTACGATGTTATGCAAAGAAATGTATTTGGAGATTGTCTTACAATACCCGCTAGGTTGCAGAAGTAGGTTGTAGGAGGTACACGGGGGTATTCACCAGATACTTCTCGGCTCGACGCCAACGCTAATGGTACAGTGGGCTGACCTACATTGACCAGACTATCCGGTTTGGTGTAGCTGGTCATCGGTGGTTAAACGTTATTTCTGGCTGATACATGTTATGAATGCTATGGCCATCATAAAGTAACATTTACCATCTAAAATGGAAATGTTAATCAATAATTGTTGTTACATCGTCTACTAATTAATAACAGAAAGGAGCCTTTATAATCTATGGTATCTAAACTTGACAAATTATTATAGACTTGCATGGGATTTATTTTGGGAGTATTTTGGATTAAGGGTCTGGTGCACGTGTGTTGGTCTGTGTGTGCTCTCCTCACACAGGGGCGGTCGGATAGCCTAGTGGTAAAAGCATTCGCTCGTCACGCCGAAGACCAGGGTTCGATTCCCGACATGGGTACGATGTGTGAAGCCCATTTCTGGTGTCCCCCGCCGTGATATTGCATGAATATTGCTAAAAGCGGCTTAAAACCGTACTCACTCACTCACTCAACTCACACAGTGGTGGTGTGTTGGTACTGCGTGCTCCCTCCTCGCGGTGGCGGCATGTCAACGTCATCTCATTGTTTTAGTACAATATATATACATAACAATGTTGACATTAAATGCTTAGTTGTTTCAAAAAATACCACCCAATGTGTCATTTTACGACATTGACACTGACCGATTTTAGGCTTTGCATGTAAAAAACATTCATCTGGCGTAAACAAAGCCATAGAGTAGATGAGAGCAGCTGTCTGGTGTTAGACGTTTCAGCATTTATTATATTCTATGAAAGTATTCGGCAAACAAAAAAGAATACTAAACTTCCGTGTCTTATCCTGTTAAGACCACCCTGCGTGGATTACTGCCGCGCTTTACTGCCTCAACAAAGATCTTCCTGTGAGGAATACTACTGCCCTTTACTGCCCCCACAAAGATCTTCCTGCAAGGATTACTACTGCCATTTACTCCCCCAACAAAGATCTTCCTGAGGATGACTGTCGCGCTTTACTGCCTCAACAAAGAGCTTCCTGCAAGGATTACTACTGCCTTTTACTGCCTCAACAAAGATCTTCCTGCGAGGATGACTGTCGCGCTTTACTGCCTCAACAAAGAGCTTCCTGTGAGGATTACTACTGCCCTTTACTGCCTCAACAGAGAGCTTCCTGCAAGGATTACTACTGCCCTTTACTGCCTCAACAAAGAGCTTCCTGCGAGGATGACTGTCGCGCTTTACTGCCTCAACAAAGAGCTTCCTGTGAGGATTACTACTGCCCTTTACTGCCTCAACAAAGATCTTCCTGTGAGGATTACTACTGCCCTTTACTGCCTCAACAAAGATCTTCCTGCAAGGATTACTACTGCCCTTTACTGCCTCAACAAAGATCTTCCTGCGAGGATTACTACTGCCCTTTACTGCCTCAACAAAGATCTTCCTGTGAGGATTACTACTGCCCTTTACTGCCTCAACAAAGATCTTCCTGTGAGGATTACTACTGCCCTTTACTGCCTCAACAAAGAGCTTCCTGTGAGGATTACTACTGCCCTTTACTGCCTCAACAAAGATCTTCCTGCAAGGATTACTACTGCCCTTTACTGCCTCAACAAAGATCTTCCTGCAAGGATTACTACTGCCCTTTACTGCCTCAACAAAGATCTTCCTGTGAGGATTACTACTGCCCTTTACTGCCTCAACAAAGATCTTCCTGTGAGGATTACTACTGCCCTTTACTGCCTCAACAAGAGCTTCCTGCAAGGATTACTACTGCCCTTTACTGCCTCAACAAAGATCTTCCTGTGAGGATTACTACTGCCCTTTACTGCCTCAACAAAGAGCTTCCTGCAAGGATTACTACTGCCCTTTACTGCCTCAACAAAGATCTTCCTGCAAGGATTACTACTGCCCTTTACTGCCTCAACAAAGATCTTCCTGTGAGGATTACTACTGCCCTTTACTGCCTCAACAAAGATCTTCCTGCGAGGATTACTACTGCCCTTTACTGCCTCAACAAAGATCTTCCTGCAAGGATTACTACTGCCCTTTACTGCCTCAACAAAGATCTTCCTGCAAGGATTACTACTGCCCTTTACTGCCTCAACAAAGATCTTCCTGTGAGGATTACTACTGCCCTTTACTGCCTCAACAAAGATCTTCCTGTGAGGATTACTACTGCCCTTTACTGCCTCAACAAAGATCTTCCTGCGAGGATTACTACTGCCCTTTACTGCCTCAACAAAGAGCTTACCTATGAAAATATTCATATAAAGAAGTAGAGTGAGCCTTTTTTACATAATTGAAGCACACAGTATAGCTGGAGCTATCAGGACGGATTGCATCAGGAAGAGAGAAGAAAAGTAACGTAAAATGGGCTTAGAGTTGGGCCGATGTTTTTAGGCGGCAGAATTGTCTCAAAAACCAAGTATAGAAAACAGCTACAAAATAATACTTGGGTCAGGATGTGATACAGTTGTATGATACAATACGTCGTCATCATATCCATACCACAGGATAAGTAGATATCTGACTAGGCGCACTGTGTACTTGAATATGTGCTCAACAATAACTTAACGCATGTCACATCTGGCAGCCATGTTGCTATGGCTGAAGCCTTGCTCTAAGGCTGTACTGAATAATAATTCCTTGTATGTATTTGTAATTCTATCCTTACAAAAGGCAAGTCCAGATAAGCGAACAGAAAGAGCGCCTTCCATTTTATAGAGACAACATATGATTTATATGATATAGAAAATTATCATAAACTAGTTATCATTGCATCGGGAACTTGTGCAATCTTCTATTACTGCTGAACTTACAACCCATCAACCGTAGACCCTGTAAAATTAAATTTACCAAATACTCGAACTGGGCTGGAAGCGATGTATCATGTTCGCCAAATTGAGCATGTTTAATCGAAAGAAGATAACACAATCAGCAACAAGGAGCTCGTAGTTCAAGAGGCTCACCTCTAATCTATGGTCAGCCGTTACGTCATTTGTCGGTGGGTCTGCAATGAGGGTAAACTCTCAATAGGCGAGTGAATCGGCACATGGTGTTAGATTACAGAAGGGTGAGACGAAGTTCAGATGTCAATATAGATTGGATAGCTAGTTACCCTGTTGTATATCTGCATAGATTAATGCCGAATGACGGATGAGAATTAAACAACCTATTAAGGATTCCAGAAAACCATTAGATTATTATTAGCATAAAGTAGCATAAATATTTTGACATTATTATTTGCCAAAAAATGTTCTTCTATAGAAAACAGTTTTATTTGAATCAAGTTGGGGACAAGTGATACTTGTACAAATATTTGCTCCCCCTGTCAAAAAAAAGTTAACTACGGCCTTTCCCCGTCCCTATTAGAGATACTTGTTTTTGTTTCAATACAACTCGGGTGTGAACACTTTGACAAAACATCATGCAACACACGTGCACGTCGCTATATAAGTGCCATGATCTTGAAGGCGACCTGAAACCCTATTTTACCTCCCCGCACATCATAACCAGATATTCAGAAGACGGGTATCACTGAAAGTACTATGGGGCACGGGTGGACCCATTGTCTTAGGCGCCGTGATTCGCTGTGCAGAGTTGCGTCCCTTGGGCACGCCAGACACGTTTCTAGGTTTGTCAGCACCATACCCGTGCTCTTGGGTTCACCGAAGTCGTAAACGTCTGAGACCTGCATCACTTTGGGCTTTCCTCTCACATTAGGCTGACACGCTGTGATAAAACTGGAACACAGTTCAAAGCGGCGCTAAACCCAACTCACTCACAGAAATAACCATAAATATAAACATAAACATAAATGTATCAAGATAGATTCTTACTTCCATTCTGTACAGCGCGTATCCATTTCACCTCGCCGTTGTAGATAAACACATTGTTCACAGTGAGTGGAAGACACCTGTCGGGGTGAATGGTACACCGACGGCCGTACTTTATACCATGAAGACAGAGAACGGGTACAAGGGCGTCCTATTAGCAGTTTAGTTTGGGCCCTCAGCAGGAAACCTTTGGTCTGGTCAGTGACATACGATAACGACTGACTAGTAATGTCAACCAAGGGTCGCATTGAGATCACTTGGGATAAGATTACCACTCTGTCTCGCACACAGTCCAACATCAGCTTCACAAATCACCTACACACATCAGCAACTCACATCAACAGTCCACACACGCGAACGCCATGCGTGTTTGCAGCCAGGAATGTTAGTCGATCATAGAGCAGCGCTGCGACGGACACGTACAAGACAACAACATGTCAAAAGAGATGCCATGATTTAGGCTTGCAAAAACATAAAATTCTCAACAGTTGTTCCAATTGATACGTCAAGCGAGTCTACATGATGTGTACACGTCTTTGTCACAGGGTATATACAATCAGGGAATGTGTTTGTCTGTTGCTGCAAAATTACAGCTATATGATGGCGGTCCGTAAATGATCGAGGCTGGACCAGACGATCCAGTGATTGAAATCCATGACATGCATCAATCAAGCCAGCAAGCTTGACCACCCGATCCCGTTAGTCGCCTCTTACGGCAAGCATGGGTTGATGAAGATCTATTCCCTCCCGGATCTCCACGGGTCTGGTGAATATGTATAAGCAGGGAATGTGTATAATCAAATGTGTATAATCAAATGTGTATAATCAAATATAGGTACCATCGATGGTAATATCAGGAGAAGGTATTGTCTTTGGATGAATCAGCCATTGCAGATAATCCCTAATATTTTCAGGCACTATATATATTCCCTGGTCATACATGTTCCCTAAAACATTTAAATGTGAGCAAGTCTTCATGTAGTGAGGCTTGAAGGTTCGTGACATAATTATTGGACATGTTTTATAACACTGAATGTTATTTTTTTCCAAATATATATTGAAACACTTATTCAGTTTTCTTTAATGGTTGACAAAATGGTCACAGAAATCAAATTAAGTAGCTGTGTATTCATGCATGAAATAATCAAACACAACAATGTCATTTTGCCAAACATTGATCATTCTTTGTCATGCGAGTAAATATTTTATGCGAAAACTAGGAGACTGCTGTTGGAAGCGAAAGAATACACGCTGGTCAAGTCACAATGGCCCTTTGCGAAACGAACAGTGTCTATTGACGAGTTAAATGAGAAATGTACAGTTTATAACAAAACATTTTCGAGAGAATAACAAACGGCAAAAAGTGATATTAACTCCATTAATGACCATCTGTCATTATTTTGCCTTGTCAATGTGGACTAATGTAAAAAGGACGTAACCAGTTTGTGAGCGGACAATTTGCGGGGAGGTAACCCTTGTATGACAATAGTTCCGTCAAAGTGTTATGTTCACTGCAGTGTGTAAGTGAGTATGGTTTTACGCGGCTTTTAGCAATATTCCAGCAATATCGCGCCGGGGGACACCAGAATGGGATTCACACATTGTACCTATGTCGGGAATCGAACCCGGGTCTTCGGCGTGACGAGCGAACGCTTTAACCACTAGGCTACCCGACCGCCCCTTCACTGCAGTGAGATGTGCTATGTTCACTGCAATGAAAATATCACTTTTCTAAACTTAAAAAAACTCAGTCTTTCACACTGAAGTATATAATAAATGCTGTTTTCACCAAATGGTACACATTACACAGCAACGGATACCTCTATGAATTATTCACATCCACAGCGACAGCATTCTAAAATGAACTATGCCGTTTAAAACTGAAAAAACCCATTAATCTCATGACAGAAGCTCCTTTTCAGTCGATACTACAAGTGACAATTGTATTTGTAAATAATTTACAAGTGTTTATCCCTTGTTTCCATTAAAAGCCTCTCGGGTGATCATCGTCACGTAATAAGTCATAACAGTGATATACAGCACGCATTACCCCAGATAGATAACGGTATTCTCGAAATTAACTTTGACACTTATGGTTTACCTGACAGCCTTGTCAAAATAAACAGTTATGTTTAGGAGACGATATTCACATGAACGCTGGTCATTTTAATTGCTTAGGTAAAGCTGTGACAATTTATTTCTTTGTTGTTTAACGCTGCACTCAGCAATACTTCAGCGACATGTATGTGACTGCGATCTGTAATTAATCGAGTCTGGACCGGAGAATCCAGTAACTGACATCAAGAGCATCGATCCAGGCAATATGGAGTGAGTGAGTGAGTGAGTTGGGTTTAACGCCGCTTTTAACAGTATTCCAGTTATATCGCGGCGTGTCAGCTTAAAGTGGGAGGAAAGCCCGAAGTGATGCAGGTCTCAGACGTTTACCACTTCGGTGAAACCCACGAGCACGGGTATGGTGCTGACAAACCTAGAAACATAATCGGGGCAAACCGGGATTCGAACCCACAATCACAGGTTTCTGGCGTGCCCAGGCGACGCAACTCTGCACAGCGAATCGCGGCGCCTTAGACGACTGGGCCACCCGTGCCCCCAGGCAATATGGAAACGATGATATTGCATACAGCCAAGTCAGCGAGCCTGACCACCTAATACATTTTTAGTCGCTTCTTACAACCAAAGTTTGTTGGGGACCTATATTTTTACCCGGAATCCCCACGGATTGTAGCTGGTTCCAACCAAGCATATACAAATATCAGCTTGTTTCAGAATGTATAAAAAAAAGGTTATGGAGTTTCTGAAAATATGAAAAAAAAAAATTAAAAAAATTTAACAGTCAGGTATGTAGGCATACATATATTTGGATATTAGTATGTTAAAAGATTCTGTAGGTAGCTCTCAACGGATAATAAGTACCAATTGAAATATTATACGCCAAATGAAATAATATCGACAAAATCATTTCATAATCATAAGAAATCTAACATTAATCAAAGATAGTTGCTCAAATATTCGGGGAAAGGTTTGTCAATGCAAAGAAAAGGTACTATATATGTTTAATTCGTGACTTCGACTGGTGAATCAGTCACAATACCATTGTTTCAGGTTCACTAACATATCTAGACTTCCGTCCCGAGAGAAAAAAATAATAAAGGAGTCCAATTCAAGTTTAGATTTCCCAGCTCGTTCTGGGCTCCATTTGGATATTGTTATTTTTCTTTTGTAAATATTTTTTTTTAAATAAAATAACTTATTTTGGGACTAAATGTCAGTCTATTACAAATCTTGAGGTCAGATATCTTACATAAGTAATGCGGAAATGGTCGCACAGACATAAATAGCTCCCATCGTCAACAAATACAGACTGCTTGAACCAAGCATGTCAGAGTTAGTTGTTCATTTGTTTAGGAATATAGACATGTACTCCTTGCTCTACGTTATACTAATATTTAGTCTATGAAAACATTTCTTTAAAATAATTGTATTTTTTTTTAAAAATTCAAAAAATCAAAAATGCCTATAAATTATATAAATAGATTCCACAGTCGTGGCACAGCACTTACCTAATACTACAGTATCTCCAAATGTTACGTTTACGAAAATAGTTTTATGTACGATTGTGAATCATATACGTGATTGTTTTACATTGGCGGACATTGCTACTTTTGTCTCATTTTAATCATCGCATAATAAGTGCCCTCTTTGTACTTTCTGACACTGTGAGAGTATAATCGCATTGACGACAACAAGAAGTGCTTGTGTACTGTCGAAACATGAGACCATAACACGAGTGTAAGTTCACAAGCCAGAGGTCACTATGTTAGCAAGGGCTGGGTGTTGGTGGGGGTGGGGGGTGTAACCGGATACCGCCCCGCTGGGCCCGTGAACACGTATTTACAATGATCAGGGCGGGGAATGGTGGTGACTTTACTTGCATTCATAAACAAATAGTGACCAAGCATTCGGTTTGGTCCAGGGCGATGTGTTAAGAGAAGTGTGGCGGATGAGGATGTAACAGAGTTATCATCCTTATATTTTGAGAATATTCAAGCTCATCAACAAACAAATAATTTATTCCGAATATACATCTACAGGTTTAGAAAGTATGTGCTAATGTTGAGAAACGAACAGGTTACTATTTATTATTCTGAACATATGCCACGTCCATACACCTTGTATATTATGTCCATTGAAGACACGTTGTGGTAGATAGAGGCTATAGATAGATAGATTAGATACAAAAGTCAAAAGATGAGCGCTTAAATATACTCAACTTTACGAATCTGTTTTGAGAGTGAGAAAACTTCTGTTCGAGTTCACGCAGTTTGTCCTGGTGTATGTATGTGTGTATGCACGCACGCACGCACGCACGCACGCACGCACGCACGCACGCACGCAATGTTTGAATGCATGTGTCTGTGAGTGCGTGCATAGGTCAGCATGCTCAATCTGTGAGGCACTACATTTACATATACCCCATGTATACATTACGTACACATATGCATCATATTGCATCATGTTGCATCATGCATGCACGGGTATTTGACATGACAAAGTAGCATAAAGCACCCCCAGCATCATGATGCACTTGCAGCTTACAGACAACTAACAATACGGTGCAAATGATTACTGTGAATAATAATTTCAGTTATATGCTAATAACAGCTTAGCACAGCAACAGTTATTACGTATGCATTATCTTTATTTTTTCGAAGCGACTGTGACTGGGGTTTGATGGCGTCGTTTCCTTTACCGCAGTTCAAAGTGATGACGCTGACACTAATCTAGCAGCCCCTCGGGGAAATAGCACAACAATCGAGCTTTGGAGATTCTTCATAACATGTTATTAAAGGGAGGCAAAATATAAAAATGTGCCTCGCATTAATCAATATTTAGGTGTGAAATCGGTAATTTCTTTTCACAGCGGTACGCATGACTTCCCACTTCTAATAAAACTGATATTTCTGAATATTCTAGATTTTAGCAATAAACCTCTTAATACCCAAGATAGATTGAAGTGAAAATAGGGCCGACAACACATTGACAAGTTGGACGCATGGCAGAAATGTACATGAAATAGACAACCCAGACACGCTCTACGCTCGCTACAGAGGCAAGTCCGGAGATTTACGTCCTGAAATGAACGGTTTATGGGGACTAAGACGTGACCTCACCACAAACCATAGCGTCCGATCAGGCATCAATGCACATTATATTCACAGGATGAATCTACACAATGCTACATATATTTCTACCAACAGTCGATAAGTGAGTCGATGAATGCATAAAGCTGACTCAAACGCTAGCGGTTTTGAACAGCTGATCAACCGCTGTCGGCGAGCTGGGTCGACCAGAAATGTAGGCCAAATCGTATTACGATTAAACAGCTGGAGCATGATATATTGAAGCTTTCTGATCCACTTGAGATTATATATCATCCCTAAGAGAGTCATACAATGTGTTCGTGTCATGCACTGCATTATTTGAGACAGATTTAAGGCCAGGAAAGTTAAAACAGCTTCGCTGTGACCTCCACTACTTGTTTGGTATCTCCCAGGTCAGGGTCGGTCACGGTTATGCTTCGGTGCCTATAGAATAGCGGGATAGTCGTACTTACGTAAACCCTCTAAATAAGAGAGTTATGAACTTGTTCATATGAAAACATGTAATGAGTAGCATACGTTAAAGCATAGAGACATATCTCAGATTTCACGTTCTCTACAAACAGAGCCGTGTGATCAGCTGTGTGAACAATGAGCCCACACGCTATAAATACAACTGCCGTATATCGTTTCTAGCGAGGGGTTTTACAGAAAAATGGTTCATTCCAATAAAAAACAAATTACACAGATAGATATTCAGTGACTTAAGAAAGGTAATTAACTTACTGTCAAAGTTATTATCATCCAGCGTCTCCTGTAAACATCGTTCTAACTCGCTGCCTGCTTGTGGCTACCGACCCAGTTGCGCTTTGACCGACATGCGCACTGAGGGGATTTCGAGAGATTCCATTCATCGTCGATATTTTAACGCGTCTTTATTTCGAATATCTTTTGATATTTTGATTATATTTGGACATATCGACATTGGTTGTGTAGATTATGTTTTTTCGGGTGATGAGTTTGTTGGATTAATCCAAGCATTACATGACTAAATCCAATATACTAATTTAACTATCTGGTAAAGGACAAAGTATCCGAAGCGCATGAAACTTATGCAAGTAATGACATTGACACAGATTGGTAACCGGTGTGAAAGAGGAACTATTTCTCATCTGAAATTGCTTTATTTGTTTTTTTAATCTACAGAAAACAATAACGTCAAGGTCAAGTGTATTGTTTGTTTGTTTTTATGTTTCAAGTGGAGTGGAATGTCTCCGGTTTCTATACGTTGATATATGCTGAAACGTATATTCATTATTCAAGCCTGTATATGATAATGCATTCCACGTAATCAATAAATATTAATACATTTTGTAGGATTTATTTCATTACCGTTGTAGCGAGGAGATATTCTACAGCGTGTAATGAAATAACTGAACACAATATGAGAATAGCAAATAAATCAATGCACATCAAACTTATTAAAGTAATTCCATTGACACAGATTGATAACCGGTGTGAAGGAGGAACAGTTTATCATCTAAAGCTTTTTTATTTGAGATTGATAACCGATGACTCCGCGAAACGCAAACGCACAACATTATGTTAAAATGAGGATACACTGACAATTCCCCGTACAACAGATACAGACACAACACACGCATTTAGAAATATACCCAAATAACAAACAGAAAAAAACTGAAAATCACCGCAATAACCCCCGCCTTATAGATACACCTGTCTAGATACCTCGCACACAGGAACTTTGCTTGATTTGCATATTGCACACGCTCATGTCATTGATAATAATTGAAAATAATAACGTGTGTAGCTGTACGCATTTGGGGCGACACTATTGTGCGGTGAGAGACCATCTGTTGTAAGTCTCATATCATCTCGTCATGATTTATATACATATTTATCACTGATACAAAATACTCATACAACATGAAGTCATTAAATAGTGATGTAATATATTGATAATATATATATATATATATATATATATATATATATATATATATATATATATATATATACAAAACTGAGGTAAATGTTCACTCGGTGTACATGTAATATATAATAAAAATAAAATAAAAATAAATAATAATAATAATAATAATAATAATAATAAAGTCCACGTTAGTCAATCATCTTTTATCATCTATCTTCTTTATATCTCATGACAGCGAAGGTACTATGTCTGAAACTGATATAAAGAAGATGATGGACTAACGTGGACTTTATTATTTTATTATATATATATATATATATATATATATATATATATATATATATATATATATATATATATATATTGTAAGAGTATCATGTAACTGTGATGAATGTGTATGCAGACATACATACCAAATACGCGTTGGAAACAATGCACACAAACACGTCTCAACATTTGATTCTGACATGTGTTGAATTTGTGTGCGTGCTGTTTAAAATGTACTGACAAGAAAGCTTATTTCCATATATTTTTCATTGTTCCCTTTTTCGTTTCCATCTCACTCATTCCCAATCAGGAGATCGATATGTTTGTTTGTTTGTTTGTTACGTCGCACTTCGCAATATTCCAGCTATATGACGGCAGTACGTAAATAATCGAATCTGGAGCAGACCATCCAGTGATTGATATCATGAGCATCGATCTTCGATCTATGCATCGAACAAGTCAGCGAGCCTGACCACCCTATCCAGATCGATATGTGTGCCAATATTGATTTACTCCTCTCGAAACAAAACAGCAATAGATGGCCCGCGTGTAAAGTGCCGTTATGATGGAAATGACGTGAGGGAGTAACTAGATGACTACAGGTAGACCGACGGACACTGTATGATCTCAGCTTCCACCCGACATAATGCGCAGATAATAAAAAACAAACAATGATATGAGAAGATTAACATTGACAGAAACAGTTAGAGAAGGTTACTTACTTGGTGACTTTCACTGTTCACACCAAGTAGGTAACCTTCTCTAACTGTTTCTGTCAGTGTTAATCACTTGGTGACTTTCACTGTTCACACTGACCGCCTCCGTGGTCTTTGTGGCATGGTATCTCAGTGAGCTAGCACTATAAATCGGCATCAGTCCGGACTAGTACAAGCAGCCACATACACGTGCATGCACGTCGCTATATAAGTGCAATAATCTTGGACGCGACGTTAAACCCAATTTCACCTCACCTCACCTCACCTCACTGTTCACACTAATTTGTCAGGAGATTACACTAACCAGCTAGTCAATATTTGCTAATTAGACTAGAATAGGTGGCCTAGTCCAATTTACTTATCAGTTAGAGATTACTATCCATCCTCTCATAATTTACTAACTGCAATAGTATATTTACTAAGCTTATTGTAAGTTTTACTAAATTTTACTGAAGGCTCGTTTTCTTATTATTTTGCGATAACTGTTGACATCGGCTGAATACAATTTGCAAAAAAAGCAAACAAATATCATAAACAATAAGGGTGAAAGATAGCACATAATGATTTTCAGTGGCATTTTAAGTTTATTTATACAATACTACGAAGACATAATTGACAGGTAAATACAACAAACATATTTTGTTTTACACTGGCAAACTTAACAAACCTTTCTCCTTCATTGAAGACGTGCTATGAGGCTCTAAATTACGTCAGTCAAAATGACGATCATTATGTGGATGTTTTTCACCTATTCTTCTGAATGTAGTTTATTCATTTTCGAAAGAATATATCGGTATCTGATTTTACATTAAGATTCAATTCGAACTAGCCGGGCCAAGATCCACTGAACGTGCGATGACAATGATAAGGTCGGTCACAGCATTCCTAGGCTCGTTTGTCTATGCTGCATTGTGTTGGGCTTTCCTTCCACATGAAGCTGACGCGCCGCAATATGACTGCAATACTTTACTAAGCGGCGTCAAACACAACTCCTCGCTTTGAATATAGTGCGCTGTTGTAGAGAAATGAGTCATCACTATAAATTTCACTACACTGCCACACGACCGGGAGTCGGGATCGCCTGTTACACAATATATTACCCCCCCCCCCCCTTTTTATTGAATAACCGTGAAACACGGGAGAGCACTGTTACCCTCCGATAATGTATTTGTCACTGTAATTAAACTGACGTGTATGAAGACATGTCTTTGCCTGTCTCAATACCTCGCACACCCGAACTGTACTTGACTAATATATTGCACATGCTCATATGTCAAAGGTCATAACGGTTTTTTTTGTAGACATTGGCAGCATTAACAACCGTCTTCACGATGGAAAGAAGATGTCAGTGTATTGCCGGTATGTTTGCAATAGACTAAGGCGTAAGCCATCACTAAATCAAATCGTCCTCTTCATCAACGGGTTTCTTCATGGCGACAAACATTGCGCCAATTCTTTTCCATTCCTGTGTACAGTAGACAGTCACCGCTGTGCCAAGGAAGCACCTGCCTTCACATTATGACTCATTGCTATTTCGGAGTCTCATATCAACCCCCCTGTTTCCTTGACAAGATAGAATGCAGAATGTTTAAAGGCCAACGTTGAGGTAGGTGCCTTTTAACCAGACACGACCGGCAGGGAAGTACGTTATCGCCCGTTTCGGAATCACGTTGAGTAATTTATAGATATTGGTGAAGATTCTTAATTTCTCACGTCCAGTTCGTTAGTTCCTTTTCTTCTTTTTCTAATTATAATAGGTTACCAATATATCGGTGTAAGAATCTATTGAAACATTGCTTTTTGCACTAAACCAGAAGTTGTCATCCATACAGTTGTACCTTTTTTATCTACTTACCAACTTATAGAATGCCAATCAAACAGTAAATTGTTATAGAGACGGGGATGTTAGTACATCTTGACGTCTTCACATTACTTGATACAACGTGATATATATGATGCTGCCGAAAGGTTGATGGTGAAAAGATCATCTTCTGAAACAGTAGTAGTACTGTCTTCGTGGACAAGCATTATTTCAATTAAATCACGAAATTCTCCACATAGTAAAACATAATACAACATGCCCTAAACAAGCTGTATGTTCTTCCAATGTAACCTGTGATGACGCTTCACGAAATGTTTTAAAAAACCCCATTCATATACACTCTTGTAAATACATCACTAATCTCCTGTGTGTCGTTTTACTGATTATTTTGTATTTATAAAATCAGCTGATGTTATTTCTTCTGTTAATCGACAGCTCGCAGATAAACCATCTTTTTTTCATTTTAGTCATTTCTTCACTCTGCAGAGATCTTTATCGCATACAAATCATGTTAAAACTCTAAAACGTGATACGTGACAAAGATCTCGTCTTTTATACAATTTGGTAATCCTTCCAACATGATCCACGATAATTCCTTTTTTCAGGCCACAATAGACTGACTTATTGTGTTTTTATTTGTATAAGTGTTGTTACTAGTTTGGTTTCTGACGAGATGTGTACGTGTTCAGTTAGAGAGTGAGCTTGAATTTATTTTATTTGTATCACGGCGTCTCAGCTTGATGTGAAATGACAGTCTGAAATGATGCAGGTTTTGGACGTGTTACCATTTTAGTTGGTTGGTTGGTTGGATGTTTAACGCCGCACTCTATATGACAGCGGTCTGTAAATAATCGAGTCCGGAGCAGACAATCCAGTGATTAATATCCTGAACATCGATCCACATAATTGGGATTGGCGACATGCATCAACCAAGTCAGCGAGCCTGACCACCCGATCCCGTTAGTCGCCTCTTACACCTTAAAACACACGATCACTGGTATGGCCTTGACACACAATAAAACATATTCAGATGAATCTGGGATTCGAACCCAGGACATGAGGTTTCTGTCAAGTCGAAGTGACGCACATCTGCTCAGCGAATATCAACGTCTAAGACGACTGGGCCACCTGATCCTTCTTTCCAACGAAAAGCAATATGTCAAGAATATCAAGAAAATGAAAACGCTAGCATCCACTAAGCGGTATTTGTATGTATATGGATATAAATAGATGATATTTGACATGATGCAGATGTCTTGAGATAGAGTCATCATTATTTGCCCGAGGATCAAGATCTATATACTAGTAATAGGCTACATTTGATAATGTCAGGCGTAGTAATAACTGTTCTGATGAATGCATTATTGTGATTTATGGCTAAAGCTTTCAAACACGACATTAAGCGTTCTTTGTATCCTCCGAGAGATCATTTCTCCCCGATATTTATGGTTGTTTTTAGCGGTGTCTTCTTTCTTAGTACTCAAAAGTGACCAGAATGGTTCACTTGTTTAAATTAGTGCAGTAACAAGATTATCTGCTTAGCCTAGCATACCCATAGCCAGTAATCATCTGGAATTCCCAACATTGTTCCTTTAAACATTCAACGATAATGATATCAGTAAACATGTATATCGTTAATGGTTGAATTTCAAAGAGCGCCATGCGACTCTTGCTCAAAAGTTGTTTCATCTAGGTAAAACTTTCAAAACGTTTAATCTTACACATGCAGGGGACTTTTCCAAATCTGACGCATCAGTGAAAACATTATTTCCGATGCAATGTCCTATTATGTTCCATATGTTGCCGTGTACAATTGACTTTCCTTTGCATGTGTTTGCGACGGGTGCCACCGGAGGGCAGGATACGCTCACCTTTACGCAAACGCCTGGTGCCAGCACTTTTTGATAGTGATTCATAAACACATGCTTATGATATAGTCGGAAATGAGTTTAAGTAAAGTGTTTTTATGATCATGGAAATGTATTTAGTGGCTTTTATTGAACTACTGCTGATGACTTGACGTACCACGATGATGCTTCAGAATAGTACTTGATAACTGCAATAGTATGACGCATGGTGGCCTTGGAACAAAGGATTCCTCAAATATTTTTAACATCCAAAGGCCATTTTCCTCGAGCGAACATAGTTCTATTTCCCTCATGACGTAACGTATAATAGCATCCAGCTTGCGACAGGCTCTTTAAATGGTTGGTCCTATGAATGTCCTTGTTGGGTTTTGTTTGTTTGTTTGTTGTTTAACGCCACACGCTGCAATATTCCAGCTAGGTTTTCAGCAACCCATGCTTGCCGTAAAAGGCGACTATGCTTGTCGTAGGAGGCGGCTAACGGGATCGGGTGGTCAGGCTCGCTGACTTGGTTTATGCATGTCATCGTATCCCAAATGCCTGGATCGATGCTCATGATGTCCATCACTGGATTGTCTGGTCCAGACTCGATTATTTACAGACCGCCGTCATATAGCTGGAATATTGCGGCGTTAAACAAACAAACAAACAAACAAACAAACAAACAAACAATAATACTCCCGGAACGTGAAAAGGACTGACGCATTCCCTGACACCATGATGCCATCGAATTTCCCGATGTACGTGCCGTATATACTATATGTATTTGACAAACAAACATGACAGTCCTGTAATTTCACCCTTAAAATGAACTTGAATAATACGACACGACATATGGAGGTGGTAACAAATTTTAACATATCGATTTTCTGTTTTTTGTCGGTATTCCAAGTTCAAAATGAACACCAAAGAATAGATAATCCTGTAAAATTCTTTCAAACGATTGTGTCCCAATGGAAAACACATGTTGCATTTTTGCCGGGCGCTCCAGAATGTAGTCTGGTTGCAGGCAGCTGCTGGAGAGGTGTTCTTCATCTGACATTTATACATGAAACGTATTTATCATGAGGGAAAGGTCAAGGTGAGGATTGAGGCTTGGCGTCGTCATAAGGTACGCGATCATCCTCGCAGTATGAAAATTGTAGAGTCAGTATATTTATTACTCAGTCCAAATTATAATCTATATCGTGCAGTTTGACTATGTTTACTATTACCGTAAACCCTCACCCAGAGGTTGGTCCATGTAATTCGGCTGGAAAATTGCGGTTAAACAGTATTGAGTTACAAGTCATTTATAAGCTGCTTGTGCGGCTTTAAACATCAGAGACATATCTGGAGTTAAGCCTGTGTCTGTAAATGAGTACAACTTTGAAATTGTGTATTTTCTTATGTTTCTGCAAATGTGACATACACAATTTGAAATTGGAATATTTATCGAGTTATTTTGTTATTGGAAAAAAGAGTACCTATAACAAACTCGATATCGAGGGTGTCATCTAAAAAAAACATATTTAGGTTTGATGGAGGTTTGCAGAAGCATGTCTCAAGAAGGGGCCGTGTCATCATAACTACTTATAAACGTGATAGATTTTCGGGGTCTTATTTGAGGATTTATGGTTCATGGTATGTCTATGGTGATTTGCTATGAATACTCAATGCAATTTAGAAAGTGGTCAAATGTAACAACAAATTCTTCGCAAAGTACAAATTCTGGTACATTTTTTGTTGACTTCCATCTGAGATTCCATCTGGGAACCCACGCTCTCAGACTGAAGCACCTAATCGCCAGCAAACAAAGTCAGTGATAAAGGTGCACTAAGCCATCAAGGCTGCCAAAAAAACCCGTAACTCCGAAAAATGGTAGTCTAGTTCACGCATTTTGTAATTTGTGCTTTACAAAGAAAGTGTTATCTCAAATATAATGTTTGTTACATTTGATATGAGTCGAACTGGAAACACATTCGGACTTGCGTACCATTTACCCTTCGGACCTTTAATCCAGGAAGAAAATGAGGTCTTCAGCAACCAATGCTTTCCGTAAGAGGCGTCTATGCTTGTCATAAGAGGCGACTAACGGGATCGAGTGGTCAGGCTTGCTGACATGGTTGATGCATGTCATCGTATCCCAACTGCGTAGATCGTTGATGCTCATGATGTTAATCACTGGATTGTCTGGTCCAAACTCGATTATTTACAGACCTCAGTCGTATAGCTAGGAAATTCCAGAGTCCGGCGTTAAATAACAAACAACAAATACAACTTCGAGTAAACACTCACACAAGCCCAGGCAGCTTTCCATTCAACAATGATGAAACTGAAAGTATCTTTCTCTCACCACAATTTGTTCACAGATTGACCTGCAAGTTTCAATCTTAATGTATTGCATTGGTGACAAATAAAAGCTCGGATGCAACGATGCATAAGTGACCAGTAGTGTATCATTAATCATTTATCAATATTTGAATTACCACTTCTCTTTTTCAACATGTCTCCTATTTTTCTTGCACTTCTGACCTTTTCCCAGATATTCTTCAGGAAAATACATTGCACAGAAACATGAAAAAAACATCATAACGGTTAGCTTATAATCTATGGCAGTTAACATTGATGACAAAACATATTGAATATTCATTTAAAGGATTTTTTAAGAGTTCTTGTTTTAGTGATGAATCTCAAATGAGAGTATTAGCTACAGTAAACTACGGTTATAACGAACACGCTTATAACGAACTAGCGGATATAACGAACTTACTCTTTAGTCCCGACTATATGCTGTAGTTATGCTGTATATATGCTTATAACGAATTTCGGTTATAACGAACTAAAATTAGTAGTCCCTTTGAATTCGTTATAACCGTTACGGTAGTTTACTGTAGTTAGAAATTTAGGAAAGTGAACAATCCTCCCTGACAAGGTTCC